TTTCCTGATTATGAATCCACGTTGTATATTTTTTATTTATATAAATATAAAGATGGCTCACGGAGCGCAATCATTTAAAAAAAAATCAATATATATTACATCTGAAATGCTTTTTTAAATGTAGCATGAATAAAACAATTCATGAATCAAATAGTTTTGGCAGCCTGTATGGCTACTCTGAAGTTGTTACAAACTAATATAACTTGAAATTAGATGAGTTTACAAATTTAATTACGTGAAGAACATGAAGTTCATTAATTGTAATATCTTTCCAAAATAAATGTAAGCACTAACTTTTTCTGGATAAATTTCAATAGGAATATGAACTAGACAAAATACTGTGTATTTTAGATAAAGCTAAATATAAAAATAATGTCGAAAGAGAAAAAAATGTATGTAAAGTTAAGCCGTAATGAACGTGTTATTAGTATAAGCAACTCATTTGTTCCCACGTTTATATTACAGTTCGTAAGGTTAATGTAACAGCATAATATAAATAAGATAAACGAAAAGTTTGGAACTTAAAAACTTGCTAATGGGGGTCGTAAAAAGTAAGGAAACAAAGCTGGAGATACTATATATAATGTCTACAGCATCTCTAGCCTTGTTTCCTTGAAAGTTTAACATGCGTTTTTATATGTGTACAACCTTAGCAGTCGATAGTAAAGGTTTTGTAGTGGTGTTTGAACTGAATCTTTACTATTTAAGCTGTTTTTTGCCCGAACATTTTATTATGGTTTAGTGCAATCCCTATTATGAACCATTATCGTGGTTCATGATAGTTCGAACTAGAATTTAAAATATTTTTTAATAGTCTGATGATTGAAATATTTATGCATTCCAACATTCTTATTGAATGGATACCGAAGGATCAAAAACTCGTACTCATCTATTTACTAAGGTAAAGTTGTGTATGCCAAAAGCTCTAAATTCGTATCATCTTAGTCCTGTCTGTAACTTCTGAGAAATGCAACCCCATCTCAAGGGATGTTTCAGATACTTGTACAGATTATGAATTAGGTGTTTTCATCTCTATAAATGTTATTTGGAGTAGTCGGTGATGCATACAGTTGTGGATTCTGCCACTTTTAACGTTTCGGTGGTACATTCGAGTATGCTTTATCCTTGTCTGATGCGGACGTTTTCAAGAAATACTTCTTTCAACCACAGTTCGAGTTGGAACAGAAAACAGCCAGCCGACGTATGAAATACTTGATGATAAATTATTGTTTCACAACGAGATTCGAACTCGTGACCTTTAGGTTGCGAGTCGAGCGCCCTAAAAAACAGACCCAGTTTATGATTTATCATCTAAAAGAGATGACATAAAGAGATTTGAGACTGTTGGTCTCTGGGTAATTTTTATGTGTCTTCTCCCATGGCTCAGAGTCATGGTATATAGCCATTACTTAAAAACTAAATCCACAAGATACAAATAACATTAAGTGCTTGGCAACGGGATTTCGTATGCTGTATAGAAATTCCTTTAAGACAGGAAAGGAGCCAGTTTCTCGAGTTACTATCCAACTTTAAACTAAAGCCGTAGTTACAGTTATTATCATACTTCATTCATTACAAAGATTATTTGCTTTCTCTTGTCTTTGTAGTTCTTAAATTTGTGGGACATTACACCTCAATGAGATTGATAATAATTTTAACCATATCCTTCTTTACTGGTCCATTTCCAATAAGAAGAGCGTATGGTCTATAAAACACGAGACTTGATGTAACATAAACTACGGTCTTTCAAATGATACGTCAGAGTATTACTTATTTTATGTTTCATTTATTGGCTGTTGTACGCGTCATTATTCTTCTATGTTTGTCCTCGTAATATTTTCTTCTTTCTTGTACACACACACACACATATATATATATAAAAGAATGTTTTATAGGTATAGATGGTGAACATGTTATTTTTTTTAGATAAATATCTTAATTTCCATTGTGACTTCTCTCCACTTTTTTTTTCTCCATCCCAACACGGGTCTGCAAGATATTTCGTTGTAAGATGCCAATATCTAGATGTACTTATTATCATTATAAATTTTGTGAAACTGAATATTTGGGATCATTCTAAAGTTCAAAATAATATAGCATACTTTGCTTTTTGCAATATTTTCAAACCACTCATGTTTGTAGTACTTTAAAAAGAAACGTTCAAGTTCGTTCTTTCCATAATAGCCAAGTTATGAGGATAATAGACAAGGTGATAAGCATTCAATATTTGAGGAACCAAACGAAAAATTTCAACTTTCTTCCATGTCTTGATGACCTGGTTACAGGCGATTACATACAATTTTACAAATTATTGTTCCTTGTGTCACTGGTGAAAACTTGATTACGGTAAGATCGACGAAAATCTTATTTGTTGCCCTGGTTGCCAAGAAAACAAAAATCACTTTAGCCGAATAAACGTTAAAGGAGCGAGAATAGTTGTGTACCAAGACACAACACTGACCTTATCTAACTGCACTACAAAGATTTAAATCTATTAGGTTTTGTCCTTGTACATTATCTCTACATTCAGTCAAAACTCATTCCAAATAAAAACCGGCTTCTCGTTAAATTTCCGAAAAGTAATTTGTTGGTTGTATTAAAATAGCAAAACGCAAGATTTTTATTTATCCAATTACTGCAGTTTGTCCCAACAAAAGAAAATTCTGTGGATAAATACCACATTGTAATAAAATATAAATCAAAATAGTTTGTCTCTGAAAAGAAAATTATAAACTTCCAATGGTTAGGATGTGAGCAAAAATAAAACTGTACTATAATTGATCGTATGACAAAAATGTAATCTAAAAGTAGCAGAGAAACGAAATATAAAAAAAGGCACTAAAAATTGATTTACCTCAGACATACTTTCAGCTCTAATTACGTCATATAACCCAAAAAATACGGTTTAAACGCAGAAAAATGACGACGCACCCACAATCAACAGGCCAAAGGTTTATGATAACACTTCTACCACAAAGTTTGAACTTAAAAATTAATTTCAACTACCATCATTAGCTAAGACTAATGGCAATACATTTGGGAGAAATAAAAAAGTAGTAATAAAAACCGACAAACGTCTTGGAAACTTAATGAAAACATACGAATTATGTACACTAACATCTAATTTAGATGATTTCAAAACTCGCCAAGAACTTCAAAATGTCTACGTCAAGCTAAGTATATGCATAAAATAAAACTATCTAAAAAAGTGGAATTCAAGCTAGGTCTCGTGAACATTCCAAGTATTATAGACATTCTTAAGACAACAATATCAGGCCATAGTTCTGTTGCTAAGCCACAGATACAAACAATGCGATACCAAAAGATAATTAGCTTTTATATGTAATAGATTACCGTATTATCAGCTTGTACTTTAACATATCCGTAATCACAAAACACAATCAGCCAGATAAAACAATTTTTAAGGTTTATTTCAGGGCCACTTAAATGTGGGGATATTTAGAAGTGTTTTCAAAAATATATTAGGGAAAATTAGGGCACATATTTAACTCAACATGTTGACATAACACTCACGCAACAGGATAGGTATTTTAAAATAAGTGTTCGTTAATAATAAAATCATAAAAATATTTACAAAACCAAGATAATAAAACTTGATTTGCCTGAAAAA